CATAATAGGACTCCTACTCAAGACTCCTATTCCCTTACAACTCCTAATTCTTCTCTAAGAAAAAACCTCCTACATGAATGTCCCTCTCAATTAGGACTCTCCTAACTAGAGTTCTAACAGAATGTCCCTTTCAATTAGGACTCTCCTAGCTAGAGTCCTAACAGAATGTCCCTCTCAATTAGGACTCTCCTAGCTAAAGTCCTAACAGTTTTACATGAATGTCCCTCTCAATTAGGACTCTCCTAGCTAGAGTCCTAACAAACTCTTACAACTGTTAAAAGATAATCTCTCTACTGCTCAAGCTAGAATGAAGCAGCAAGCCGACACACGACGAAGTGAAAGAGAATTTTCAGTGGGAGATCGGGTTTATCTTCGCCTACAACCATACAAGCAACTCTCTATCAACACTCGAGCCTCCATGAAGCTATCCCCACGTTTTTATAGGCCCTATCAAATCACAGAGCGTATTGGAGCCGTGGCGTACAGACTTTAATTACCTGAGGATGCCAAAATTCACCCTGTCTTCCACGTATCATGTCTAAAGCCCAAGTTAGGAGAACACGAGTCACCCCAGATCCAACTGCCCAACACAATTGAGGATGGAGTTATTCAAGCCCAACCACAAGCTATCCTCGATCGCAGGATCGTGATGCGTCGCCGACATCCCTCTATTGAAGTACTAGTGCATTGGAATAATCTACCACTTGAAGACGCCACATGGGAACCATATGAGGAGCTGAAGACCCGGTTCCCTGAATTCATGGAATCTCAGCCTTGAGGACAAGGCTGATTTGAAGAGGGCGGGTCTGTTAGGACTCTAGCTAGGAGAGTCCTAATTGAGAGGGACATTCATGTAAAACCTACCTAAGCTGACTCTTATTAAAGAGGTGAAGAGGCCGGCTAGGGTTAGGAGGTTGTTTCTTAGAGAAGAATTATGAGTTGTAAGGGAATAGGAGTCTTAAGTAGGAGTCCTATTAGGAGTTGGTTAGAAGTAGGAGTCTTGAATAGGAATCCTATTAGGAGTTAGGGTTTAGAAGCCCTATAAATAGCCATGTATTCCTCCTCTTTTTATAAGCAATAGATGAATCTTTTCTGAGGGAGGAACCCCTATAGAGTTCCAAGGAGGCCGATCTCCTAAAGAGATCAACCCCAAGTTTAGAATATGTAAGAGTTCTAACAATTTTACTGGGAAGCAGTGTTAATTTAATCAGTGCCTCAGATGCCTTCAAAATGGTGCACCAAGTATCTAATTAATTTTTGCAATCACTTTGTGCTAGCGGAGCAGGAATTTGTATTAGCAAAATTCAAAAGGAAAGATCTTGAATAAGAAATTGACAGGAGCGGGTTTTTGTTAGGTTTCGCAACCAAATTTTATTGGGAAGCAGTGCTGATTTAATCAGTGCCTCAGATGCCTTCAAAATGGTGCACGAAAGTATCTAATTAATTTTTGCGATCTCTTTTTGAGCTAGCGGAGCAGGAATTTGTATTAGCAAAACTCAAAAGGAGAGATCTTGAATAAGAAAATGACAGGAGCAGTATAACAAAAGTCTGTTGCCTAATACTGAAAATAAGTAGTGGTAAATTTGTGGAATAGAGGAGCATGTACTCCGAACTCCTAGTATGTATGCTGAAACTACTATGCTGTGACATGGATTAAAAATGGCTAATACTATGCTGAAACTACTTTTGCTGTTCCCTACACTTCTGCTTAACCTCAGTGAAAAACTATATATCACAATAGGTGCAGTAATTTGTTTATGGTCATGTTGGACTTGGTGCTTCTTTGCTTTCGAAAATTGAAAAGGTTGTCTGCTTTATAGATGTTTACCCATATTTTGTGAACTTACCATAGTTATATACAAGGATTACAATTTCAAATAATACCGTTTGTTTCGGGCAGTACTTACCGGTCCGTCAATTGACCGGTACACGGACCGTCCGTTATCGGATGGAATATATATATATATATATATACATATATATATATATACATACATATATATATATATACATACATATATATATATATACATACATATAATTATACATATACATATATATACATATATATATATATATATATATATATATTTTATATATAAATATTTTTATAAAAGGCGATGTTGCCCCACGTGAGAGAAGGATATATATATATAAACGAGGCGACGTCGCTAAATTATATATGTATATATATATATATGTATATATATATATATGTATATATATATATGTATATATATATACACCGAGCGGTATACCAAACGGAATACCGCTCGGTATATAGTATCGTACTGTACCGAGCGAATGTCGAAACTCCGGTATGGTATGATATTTCAATCCTTGGATATATACGTTTGTTATTCATGCTTCACCATATAAAGTTTTGATGAATGTTTTTTCCACTGATTTCTATGCTTCCAGGCAAATGATGCACAACTCAGCACAATGCTAGCGAAGCAGGTAGTTTATCATGACATTCAATTTAGTGCCAATCATTACTGTTTCTTAGTGTTATTTCTAGGTAAGATTTGCCAGGCCATAGAGGATGCATTTATGACCTTGGAAGAAGTGTTCACATGATTTTTGTGAACTTTGTGGTCTTCAGACCATCAAGTAGTCATTTTGTATCTAAAATTATTGGTGTTAACATGTACATTTCTTCCTACAGGTTGAGCAGGCACATAAGGGCATTGATGCACTGGGTTTGTGTCAGAAAACAATAAACCAGATCCGTGAAAATTTTTTGTCCATTGAAAAATGTGCCTATACACATTAGGTTCTACTTTCTTTCTTATATATACCATACGAGACATATAGCTAACTATTTTAGTTATAACAAATAGGTTGTGCCAAGAATACCAGACGTTGATCGAGAATGATGACAAGATTAAGCTTCTTAGCAATGCTAGAAACAACTTGAGCACAACGCTACAGGTACACAACTTTTGCAATTATGGTGCTATCATTTGTTTTATTTATTTTGAAACCAGAACATGCATTTTGTTCTACTCTAATATAACTCAACATCGGACAAGGGAGAAAATCCTAGCATTTACTCAGGTTCTTACTTTGGAGTCTTGACTTCTTGCTCTTTTAACATCATGGTGATCGGCTGTTTCTGCAGGATGTTGGAGGGATGATGTCCATTTCTCTTGAAGCGGCTGCAGCTCATGATTCTCTAAGGGATGACAAGGAACTCATTCACACATTTGAGGTGCCAAAATTTCTATTTAATTATAACAGAGCACACGATTTATTGACTCATGCAACTGGCTCAGTTATCACCGCACTACAAATTCTGAGCTGCTTATACATTATTCACCGTGTTATTCTTTCTTTCTTCCTTGTTGTGGTGATAGAGGTTAACAGCACTGGATGGTAAGCGGCGTTTTGCATTAGCAGCTGCAGCATCTCACAAGGAATAGGTTGGAAGGCTGAGGTAAAATTTAACATTTTATTTCATTTTTGGTTCAATAATTGATCAATTTTGATATGAAATTGGTCAGTCTGCTTATTTTTCTCTCCATACTACACTTAATAATTCACATATTGATGTTTGGTCAATGCATCATTATTTTTCTATTGCTATCTAGTTGATTTATTGCTGTTGCTTGGTTGGTCCAATTATTGCATTGTCGTTCTAGTTAAAAACAGGATCAAAAGATGCAAACTTTTTTATCACTTTCATTGATAAATGAGGAAGATGAATGCAAATTTATCATTAGCATTATGATCTACCTCATTTTCCTATTATTTTATGTTTGATAAAGCGTGTAGTTTAATTAGTTTCTATTATCTGATGATGCCATTGTTTTACTTCTTTTGCTTGATAGTTTCATGATGAAATTCATGTTGTTTACAGAGAATACTTTGGGGTCATATCTCCAACTTCTTTAAGCTGGCTAAGGAAAGGTAAAGGTTTCATCATGAGAGTTCTTTGTATTACATTCATGGTGCAATTTAAGTTAGTTTAAATTAGTTTTTTTTATTCTTTTATGTTGTTGTTCTCAGTAATGATGATTCCGGTGGAACTTTTGCTACCTTAAACTATCTTTATAAAAGTTTCAAACTTTGGTTTCATTTCTTAAAGGGAGTTCTGTCACCACTCGAGCTTGATAGGTTAACTGGCTTATCAATTTCGTTTGGCCCAAATCACTAGTCAAAATGCTTAAGTTGAAGTTGACAATAGTGCACCGATCAGACCCTTATAAGTTAATCTTAATCTTGCCCACTTTCGATATGGGACTAATTGGAGATGTTACAAATTCCGCATATATTCTTTCGTGAGTTTTATATTTGAACTCTTCCTTCAAGCAGTTCTTTGAGTATATGGCATAATATTCTGTTTTTGTACTTATTTAACATTTTGAAGGGGCTCTTGGTGCATTCTTTTGTTGTACATATATGATGATGTGAGTCTACCCAAACTTTTATTACTAAAGGAGAAATTTCTTTCCCCAATTTCCTTTTCCTTTCCACCCATCTTGTGTTAGTATTAGATATAGATATCAATCTTCCTTGATCTAATAGACTCTGGTTGAGATATATCTTTTAAACAAAAGCTTCTAAGAAGGATATTTTACCAGCAGTTAGTTGATTAGATAGATACCATTGTGATTGTTTACATTTTTTTTTTAGTTTTTGTGGTCTTTGGAAGTCTAGTTGCAGGCTATAGAGAACAAGAGTTTGTTATATGGATTTTTATCAATGAAAATGCATTGAATTGTCAGTTCACCATCCTCTTTTGCCACCTCATCACCATCTTCTTGTCCACCATTCATATGCCATTTTAAATCTCTTAAGTAGTCCATATCTGTTATAATGTTTGCATATATAGATATTATCTTGATGCTCTCTGAATGTTTTAAACCAAACTAAATTGGAGCGGCTCTTTAACACACCATGTCATTCCATGTCTATTTGATTTTTTGTTCTTCCAGCTCAATTAAACAAAATGCAATGAGCTAGGCACATTTAAAGTTGTCATATACTATGCTAGAGTTTATGGGACAAACAAAATACTGACATGCCAACTCTGAGAATTGACAGCTCTATGGTAAGGGTTTTCCATATATCTGGCTCTTTATATCATTTCTTACCTGAAAAAAATGAGCTACTACAAAAGAGTGAGATTAACTAAGAGAATATAACTGAAACCGAAGAACACTAAATTGTAATCTTTGTTAGCTTGTTAGCTGCACCTACTTTCACATTTATGTAAAACATGATACTACTCTGTCTCCAAAATGCACAATTGTCCTGAAATATGACAATTCATGAATTTAGTCCTATTTTGATCTATCTTACACACATTGTTCGTTCTTATGTGAAAGTAACAGAAAAATAGCAGCATAATTTGCATACAATGATTCTGATTCATAACTGACCTGAAGTAGTCTGATTAGTACATGTTATAGTGCTCTTTTTGGCTGCCAGTGAGATGATCTGTTTAGACATGGTCTCATTAATTTGTCTTAGAGCTTCCTTTTGGTCAGACCCACTTGTTCAAATCTATACAAGATACCATAACTTGGTCAGATCATTTTATATGCATACCTATTCTCTTAATTACTTTGTCTGATAGTATGAGCTTATGCTTTATGTGATTTCTTAGTTTGTTTGAAGTGACATATTCTATCCAACTTTTTATATGATTTTTTCTTGCATTGCAGTCCACAGACAGACACTGGTGCGAGCTTTAAATTATGAATTATTGTTTCAACATGTATTGCTCCTTCCCATTAATCCTATCTTGGTATGGTGGTAATTGGCTCTGACTTTCTGGATGTTTGTTATTTTTTGAAACAGTGCTCGGATTTCTAAAACTAAATCTTTATTGAGCAAATCTTTGAAATGCAATTAAAGTGATAGTGGTCTGTGTAAATTTCTCTGACATGTAGTCCATTTATCTGACATGGAGTTTCCACAAAGTCTTATAGCAACATTATTGCTGCTTGGGCTCTACTTGTTTCTTCTCTTCCCTTCCACTATAGCACCTCATCTTTTTTTCCCTACGAAATGCAACCACGATGTTAGAACCCTTGCAGATTCTAAACTTGGGATTGATCTCTTTAGGGGATCGGCCTCCTTTGAACTCTATAGGGGTTCCTCCCTCCAAGTTGCTGCTCAAAGGCTGCAAAAAAGATTCATCTATTGCTTATGAAAAGAGGTGGAATACATGACTATTTATAGGGCTTCTAAACCCTAACTCATAATAGGACTCTTACTTAAGACTCCTTTTCTAACCAACTCATAATAGGACTCCTACTCAAGACTCCTACTTCTAACCAACTCCTAATAGGACTCCTACTCAAGACTCCTATTCCTTTACAACTCCTTATTCTTCTCTAAGAAACAACCTCCTAACCCTAGCCGGCCTCTTCACCTCTTTAATAGGGGTCAGCTTAGGTAGGTTTTACATGAATGTCCCTCTCAATTAAGACTCTCCAAGCTAAAGTCCTAACAGACCCGCCCTCTCCAAATCAGCCTTGTCCTCGAGGCTGATGATTCATGAATTCTAAGAATTTGATCTTCAAGTCATCATAGTTCTCCCAAGTGGCATCTTCTATTGGTAGGTTCGCCCACTGTATTAGCACTTCATTAGTGGGTCGTCGTCGTCGAGTCACGATCCGTCGATCAATAATGGCACTTGGCTGAGTCTGAAGTTCTCCTTGGGTAGTCATATTTGGTGGGTGGCTTTAGGCTGTCTCCAAGCACCTATTTACAACTTCCGTCTGGCCGTCGGTTTGTGGGTGATATGCCATACTCCTTTTCAATTTAGTACCCTATATATGGAATAACTTTATCCAAAATCTGCTCGTGAAGATGCAAGTATAATATATCATAAGCACAATGCGTCCCTTATAGTGTAATTCTTTTGAGTCCCAATTGTAATGAGCCATGGGGCTTGGTGCTTCATCCAATTTTTTTATAATCTTACTAGTCTCTGAATCTTCCTATCATTCCATCTTAATATCCTTAAGAAAGTCGCTGGTCGGAAGTGAAATGGCCGAAACTTCAACTTGCTCGGGTAGTTGCGAAAGCGCATCTGCAAGAACATTCTCTTTCCCCTTTTTGTAAGTTATATCATAATCAAATCCAATAAGTTTTGTTACCCATTTTTGCTGCTCAGGGGATGATATCTTTCGCTCCAAAAAGTACTTGAGGCTTTTATGGTCGGTTTTAATTTGAAATCGTCGGCCAATCAAGTAGGGTCTCCACCTCGTTGTTGTGCGCATAATGGCGAGCATCTCCTTATCATATGTTGACTTATTTTGATGGGAGGGAGATAATGCCTTGCTAGTGTATGTGAGTGGTCGACCATCTTGCATGAGAATGGCTCCAAATCCGACTCCAGATGCGTCGGCCTCAATAATGAAGGGTCGGTTGAAATCTGGTAGTGTTAGCACCGGCGTCGTCGTCATGGCTGCCTTAAGTTTGTCTAAGGCAGCGGATGCTCTATCCGACCATTGGAAGACATCTTTTTTCAGTAAGGAAGTAAGTGATGCACTGATCTCTCCAAAGTTTTTCACGAACTTGCAGTAGTAGCCTGTTAAACCCAGAAAGCCATGTAGCAATTTTATGTTCCTCGGGGTCAGCCAGTTTTGCATTGCTCCAATTTTGAAGGGGCCTACTATCACACCTTCCTCTGATATGATATGCCAAAGATATTCCACCTTCTTTTGAAGAAAGCAAAAATTCATAGTGGTTGTTGTGTGTTCAAAAGGTGATTTTCGGTACGTCTTCTTCGCATACTCGTATTTGATGATACCCGGATCGAAGGTCTAGCTTTTTAAAGATTTGTGCTCCCTTTCATCTAGCAACTCATCTACTACTGGAATAGGGTATTTATCCTTGATGGTTATGCCATTGAGAGCTCGGTAATCAACACATAATCGCCATATTCCATCCTTCTTTCGTATGAGGAGCACCGGTGAAGAGTAGGGGCTGTAACATGGCCGAATAACTCCTGTTTTAAGCATCTCTTTTACAATCCTTTCTATTTCATCCTTCTGGAGATGTGGATACTGATATGGCTGAGCATTTGCTGGAGATTTGACTGAAAAAATCATTATACAATGATCATGCCGACGATTAAGAGGTAGGTTGTGCGGCTCGTCAAATATATCTGAAAATTCAGCAAGCAAAGGAAATAGGTTTGAATCTTCAAATTCTATTGGCTCTCCTTTAATTTGCTGCTCAAGTTGTACCAAAAAGCCCCTGCATGCTTTATGCAAAACCTTCTCTATTTGTTGTGTGCAAATCATCGTTACGTCGCCCTCACGTTTCCCGTGCAGTATCACTTGTTTCTCCTTACTGTAAAATTTTATAATTAGTTGCATAAAATTCCAAGAAATATCACCTAATGTCATCAACCATTTAATTCTGAGTATGGCCTCATGATCATCAAGAGGGAGGAGGAAGAAATATGCAATTATTTCTTGGTCCTGCAGCAACAGTTTCACCTGCGGGCACCTATGATCACACTTCAAAATCCGTCCGTTGGCGACCTTAACGACAAACCTGTTGCAATTCTCAATAGGTAAGTTCATATGGACAGCAACCTTACTGTTTAGGAAGTTATTAGTGCTGCCCGTGTCGATGAGAACAGTGATAAGTTGTTGTTTGAGAAGGCCTCCAACTTTCATCGTTTGCGGGTTTGAGTAGCCAGCTAGTGTATGTACCGTAACTTCGGTCGGTTGTGGCTCTTATTCTACATCTTCTTCTTTATGTTCAAGGCTCTATTCTGGATGTTCAATGACCTCTTCTTCTATCGATTCAATCATAAGAAGTCCCCCTTTACTACAGCGATGCTCACGGCTCCACGGCTCGTCACAATGCCAACATAACCCCTTCGCATATCGCTCCCGAAGCTCTTCTCTTGTTAATCTTTTTGGTGTAGGAACTTGGTCGACAGTAGGGGGGGCTAAGGGCTTCAATATTACTGGTTGAGCGACCCTAGTCCTCCGAGCTTCATGGTTCAATTGCTCCTCTTGATGTCGTGCGAAAGAGATGGCTGCCATAAGCGTATACGATTGTCGCGCTTTAACTTCTCCTCGGATCTCCGGCTTCAAGCCCTTAATGAAGGTCCTCAATAGCTGTTTTTGAGACCAATCATGAGTTTGATTAGATAACTTTTCAAACCTGGTTTGGTAGTCTTGAATGGTAGAGGTTTGTCGGATCTTTGCTAGTTGTCCGTCAATATTCTCGTAATCGATTGGTCTGAAGCGGATCAGCAATCCTTCTTTGAATTGTTGCCATGAAAGGACTCCATAAGTATGTTCAAACCAGTCAAACCACTGTATAGCATCCCCTTCAAGATTTATAGCTGTAATTTTCACCATAGATGCATCCGCGGTTTTATGGTACCGAAAATATCGCTCCGCGCACGAGATCCAACCAATTGGGTCTCCTTCTTCCCATCTAGGGAAGTCCACTCTCATGCATGGATAGTTAGGGTCGGTCATAGAGCTTCCCCTCTTTTGGAAGTCATATCTTCGGGCTTGGTGCAATTGGGCAAAGCTCTCTCCTTGATGTGATTTCTTCGGGCTTAGTGGTCGACCCAATCTGAGTTCGGTAAAGAGCATCCGAATCTTATCCTCCATTCGCGCCTCGAAGGCTTCAAATTTAGCATTGATTACCTCCTCAAATGCCATAGTATATCCCGCCAAATCTGTGATGTTAAGATCTCTCTTTTGTTGTCGGGTTAAAGGCTTGTATTGGTTGAGAGAGGTGATGGTCGAAAGGGTTGGTGGATTGGTGGATCTAGGCTACGGTTTAGGCTTGTTTTGTGGCTATTTTGGGTGCAGTTTAAGGATGTGGTTTGGTGGAGTTTTAGGGCTGTGGATGAAAGTTTTGGATCTGTGGTAGATGGCAGCAAAGGTTTGATAGAAATCAATGGAAGTTGCAGCAAGTATGTGCTGTCTTGTAAGAGCAGAATTGTCGTCAAAGAAACAGCGGTTTCTCGACGTAATTTTCACCAAAAACTTGAGAGAATTGAGGAGGGAATTGATAGCAAAATCACAGTTTATATGACAGCAAGGATGACTAATTTAATCAAGAAAATTTCAGCAGTATAACAGCAAGGAAATTGGTGCAAGTTGCGATAGCAGAATTCTCGTCGAAAAATTTTAGCGGGTTACGATGAAAATTTGCAGCAACACAAAATCGTTTTTAGAGATGAATTCCTTAATATATCAATCTTAGATGGAAGCCAAGATGATCTATGAAGTGTATAAGAAATTTCATTTAAAAAAGATTGCAAATAGATGGGTTAAGGAAACAATATGCCGCTGAAATTTTTTGCAGCACAGATTTTTAAGTATAGCAGATTGAATGTAAAAGATTAGTGGTTTATATTGATAATTTTTTGATGAAACCAAAGGAAAATCCACTGTTAGGAAGTGTTAAAGCTATCATAAAAATTTCGTAGAGATTTGAATAGAAACAATGTAATATCAAGATCAAATAAACAGTGCTATGCGGCTGAAATTTTACAGTACAGATTTTCAAGTATAGCAGATTAGACGTAAAAGATTAATGGTTTATATTGAGAATTTTTTGAAAAAACTAAAGGGAAATCTGCTGTTAGGAAGTGTCAAAGATGTCATAAAAATTTCATAGAAATTTGGATAGAAAAAGCACAGTAGCAAGATCAAACAGATGGTGCTATGCAGCTGGAATTCTGCAATGTATCTTTCGTCGTAGAGATGAAAACTTTGTGACGAAAGGTTTATGCAGCAATATAGGAACAGTTTTTTTTTTGGATTTTCGAATAAGGATAACTAAATTGCAGCAGTAGTAAGGTAGGAAACCAGAACCTATTGCAATTCACAGGGAGATCAAAGGATGATCCGCGGTGGTGGAGATGATGGCGAAATTCGACGACGATCTTTTAAGCAATTGTGGGAATTACTTTGGATGGTTGTGGAGGGTTGATAGATGGCTGTGGAAGGGCAGCGAGACGCCAAGAACGCTGCTCTGATACCAAGTGTTAGAACCCTTGCAGATTCTA